GCTCTGATTGATCAGAAGTATTTTTTCCATGTGTTTAATGATTGCCTGAATGTCTGTGGTGAAATCTCTGTTCATATGGCCTCTACTCATTTTTTGCTTGGTTTGTTTGTCCTTTTGTTTTTGAGATGTTCAAGATTTTGTACATTTTTTAGGATAGTCTCTTGTCAGATATGTTGTTGTCAGTATAGTTTCTCAGCTTGTAGGTTCTCTCTTTACTCTTTTGAAGAAGTCTTTTGATGTGGATAAGTATTTAGTTTTATGTGGTCCCAGTTCTTTATTTTCTGCTCTTTGTGCATTTTGGTTATGATTGATATTCTACTGATGCCACAACTTGTCTTGAAGACTCCAGTTATCTCAAAAAATTTTTTCTTGAGGTTAGAAGTCTGTGGTGTCATTCAAAAGGACCGAGGTTATGGTATCTTTGGTCTTCTTAAAGGCCACAGTGGATGGTTACTAGGGCCAGCCAGGAGGGGAGAGTAACTTACTGGCTAGAGGACACATACATTTTAGCTCAGGTGATGGGGAGGGGAAAATACAAGGAAGGGAGTGGGCAATTCACAAGAGGATGGGTAGCAAAATGATGAAGGTAAGCAAAGACACGTGGGCTAAAGGGGACAGAGGTAAATTGTGAAGTATTTCAAACCTTGGAACAACAGTTCTGTGTAAGTAGATACATGGATTGAGACATAAGCAGAATGGGTAAGGTGTATATATATATATATATATATATACACACACACACACATATATATATATTCATATATCCCACAGATATATAAGTTTGAAAGAAGATATTTGTGTATGATTATTTACCTTTCATGCAAACACAATTAGGTGGACCACACAGCAGGCAAAATGATGAAAAATTCCTAGGTATTATCAAATATCTTAAGATTCTAGACCTGTGAGCTCAGGACCATAGTCTCAGGGGACACCATGGTCAATTGACATAACATAGTCCACAAAGACAATGTTCTACATCTTGCTTGGGTTAGTAGGGTCTGGGACCTTGAAAGCTCATGAGTGGCTGCATAAGGTGCAGCTATTAGTTTCTCCATGTGTCAAAGAAAGAGAAGTGATAAGGATTGAAGAGACTTGGATTCAATTACTCTAATAGACTAATGGAACATGTGAACATCAGTCTCCGGGATTCTGAAACCAAAAGAACCAGATAGTGCCCGACTACTACTACCAACCATCACTCGTCTGTCAGTTTGTTGTACTGTGGTGGCTTGTGAGTTGCTGTGATTCTGAAAGCCATGACACTGGTATTTTAAATACCAGCAGGGTCACCCATGATGGACAGGTTTCAGATGAGCTTCCAGACAAAGACAGACTAGGAAGAAAGAGTGACGAATTGCTTCCAAATATTTAGTCATGGAAAACCTTATGAATAGCAGAGAAACACTGTCAGATATGGTGGTAGAAAATGAGCCCCTCAGGTTGGAAGGCACTCAAAATGCAACTGGGAAAGAGCTGCCTCCTCAAAATAGAGTTGACCGTGCTGATGCGAATGGAGTAAAGCCCATGTGACCTTTATTTGCTGATGCAGCACAAATCAAAATGAAGAGAAATAGCTGTACACATTAAAATTCAGAACATGGAATGTACAAAGTATGAATCTGGGAAAACTGGAAGTTGTCAAAAATGAAATGGAATGCATAAACATCGATATCTTAGGCAATAGTGAGCTGAAATGGACTGGTATTGGCCATTTTGAATCTGATGACTGGGAATGACAAATTGAAGAGGAATGGCATTGCATTCATTGTCAAAAAGAACATATCCAGATCAGTCATGAGGTACAACGCTATCTGTGATAGGATAATATCCATGCGCCTACAGAGAAGCCCAATTAATACCACTATTATTCAAATTTATGCACCAACTAGTAAAGAAAGTGAGGATGAAATAGAAGAATTCTAACAACTTCTTCAATCTGAAATTGTTAAAACATGCAATCAAGATGTATTGATCATTACTGGTGATTGGAAAGCAAAGGTTGGGAGCAAAGAGGAAGGATCAGTAGTTGGAAAATATGGCCTTGGTGATAGAACTGATGCTCGAGAACACATGATAGAATTCTGCAAAATCAATGATTTGTTCATTTCAAATACCTTCTTTAGACAGCATAATAGATGACTATACACATGGACCTCACCAGATGGAATACATAGAAATCAAATTGACTACATCTGCATAAAGAGACGATGGAAAAGCACCTTATCATCAGTGAAAACAAGGCCAGGGACAGACTGTGGAACAAAACATCAATTACTCATATACAAATGCAAACTGAAGCTGAAGAAAATGAAAACAAGTTCACGAGAGCCAAAATATGACCTTGAATATATCCCACCTGAATTTACAGATCATCTGAAGAACAGATTTGATACATTAAACACTAAAGATCAAAGACCAGAGAGTTCATGAACATCATACATGAAGAAAGCAAAAAGTCATTGAGAAGACAAGAAAGAAGGAAAAGATCAAGATAGATGTCAGAAGAGACACTGAATCTTGCTCTCCAGCATAGAGATGCTAAAGCATATGGAAGAAATGAGGAGGTAGAAGAGCTGAACTGAAAATTTCAAAGATCAGCTTGAAAAGATAAAGCCAAATATTACAAAAAAATGTGCAAAGATCTGGAGTCAGAAAACCAAAAA